AATTGGTCTCTGATCATTATTTATAAATCTTGAGATCGGAAGGAAATTCCAGTAACAGCTGATGTCCATATCTAATGCTGACACGCTTTACTTATGATCTTTTCAATGATTTCTTATTATACTCAAATACAAAAAGTAACATGAAAGTAACGAATAAATTATCACCTATTATATTAAAATGTTGGATCAAAGGTTTCGTTATTGCATATGTTAATCGTTATTTAAACGTTGACTGATGGTCAGTACATGAAAGAAAAGAGAAATCTTTTCTAGTTGTTGACATGATTAATAGACAAAATTAAAATGTAAGAGTTTAAATTATATATCTTAATAAAAATCAAGGAAATATCCATTCTTTCTTTAATCAACAGAAGACGATTTCTTACCAAAATCCGAAGATGTCTAAAGAACAACGTGAAGACTTGGTCACCACTCAAGGGCACACAATGACTTGGAAACGTTATCACCGATATGGAGGTAAAATTATGTTGGAAAATTTTCTACATCGTACTAAACTATTTCAATTTATATGTTTAATACTAATTTAAAATGTAATTTATTAGTATATTTAATATTACATTATAATATCAATTATATTTTTAATTCTAATGTTGATGTATATAATTATAAATAATTTTTTTGGATAAACATCAACTATAATTTCTACTTTATATACGTCTGCACATATAAATTAATAAATAAATTTAATTAAATAACATAATTATAATTGGCTTTCTTTTTAACAGATATCGTACGTTACTTAGAATATCTAGCCTTCAGATATCCTAAAATAGTAGAATTAATAACTATCGGACATAGCTACGAGGGCCAACCGATAAAAATGGCGAAGGTTTCATCGGGATTAAACAAAGAAAGCGAAAGAAAACCTGCTATTTGGATTGATGCCGGTAAGTTTTTTTTTTTGTACAAATAGTCATTTCTTTAATACAAAAGAGTATTAATTAAAAGAATAATTGTAAATGAATAATAAATAATAAATAATAAGTTATGTGTATTAATGTAATAAAAATAGTTTGAAAAACTTTTCTCTTAATTGTTATTTTAAATAATATCGTAAAAACTTTTTTTATAAACAACTATCAAAATTATTGTCAGCCGTCCTTTATTGACATCAAACCCGTATGCTTCCCACGTTTTACACACATCTCGTCCCGTTAGATTATCTTTTCGGTAAATCGCCATCGTCTTCGCAGGCATGCATGGACGAGAATGGATCGGTACCGCGGTAGCGACCTACATATTGAGCCAGTTGGTAGAAAAGAACTCGAGCTACACGAAATTGTTGAATAACTCGGATTGGATGATTCTGCCAGTTGTTAATCCCGATGGTTATGAATATAGCCATATCAGTGATCGCTTTTGGCGGAAAACCAGAAGTAATCACGTGGAAAGTCAAAATGACAGTAGGTGAGGAGAGGAAAAAATATTTCGTTTTGACACTACAATTGATGAAGAATCTTAATTAATCAATTAATGTTAATAATATTCGCTTGATCTTATTATACTGTCCGACACTGATTTTGTCTTTGATTTGCGAAATATCATTTCCAAAATATTTTTAACGCGGAGTGTAACAAAGATTACCTCCACGAGGCACACTTTGAAAATACGTATTGTGGCTAAATGATCTTTTAATAGCTATCATGCTAACCTCGGAATGTCAAATGTAAGAAACATAAATCAAGATATGACACTAGTTATACACTTATACATGATCAAGGGACACTGCAGTGTGTCTCGCACCAAGTGAACGTGTAACAACGCCTAACTTCAAATCTACGTAACTTGGTCATAAATGTTGTACAGAAACAAAAAAAAACTTATTTTAAATATAAAAGATAATACTTTAAGATAGTGTAGTTAAAATAAAATTTTTTTAATTACAATATATCATTCCAAATATGGCCAAAATCATCATTTTTTATCTATATTATTCCAATGTTCTTGGACATATAACGTGATAGAATTATTCTGAGTATGGATTCAAATCCAACGGCAAGAAATCTTCGTGAAATGGCACTCTACATATTTGTCAAAGACAAACAAAAGTAAAATTTTGTCGGATAGTGTTATATGTACTTATATCAAAAGCGATATATTTAGAGAAATTGAAGATTAGATTGCCTATAAAAATAAAATTTTAAATTCTAAAATGAAAACAAAAAGTTATCTGGATTGAGAAACATTGTGCTTTATAAAGTATATTATTATAATATATACATATAAAATCGTATCATATATCTAATCAATCACACACACTCAATAAAGTAATTTTTCTTAAATAAATTTAATACTGGTTAATAGAAGAAAATAATTCATTACATACTTTAAATATTAAAACACTGTTTTATTTTTAGCACTTTCAGTACTCCAAATAAGTAATAATTAATTACTGTCTTTCAGTAATAAATTAGCTATTATTAACCCAGAAAACAAGAAATATTTTGGAACATTTTAACAACATTGTAACGTTGTAACGTTGCTGTAATACTAAAACATTTCAAAATGTTTCTTGTTTATTAGAAAGTTTTTTTAAGGTTTAAGAGTTTCACATTAACTAAAATAATGCATAATTTTCTTTCCTATAGGTATACGCCATCTAATTTATTACAATTCGTAACGCACTATACTAGATGGTTCTGGACTACATGCGAAGGAGTTGATCCGAATCGAAACTTTGCATACCACTGGGGCGAAGAAAAAGAAGGCGGTGCCAGTTCAGATCCTTGTCACGAAACATATTCCGGGCCTTACGCCTTTTCCGAACCTGAAACAAAAGCTATGGCGGATTATATTTTGGCGAACAAACAACATATTCGGTACGTTAATTGTCAAATCAATACTTCATTAATTTTAATTTACCATCTAAATATATTTTAAATTTAAAAATTTTAAATTTTAATTGTATAGTAATACTAAATGCTAAATTTACATTTTCAGAATGTATTTGACTTTGCATTCTTATTCTCAAATGTGGCTCGTACCATGGGGTTACACGCGTTCGAAACCGTCGGATTATTCGGATTTAATGAATGTAGCAAGGAAGGCAATTAACGCTATTTCGAAAGTTCATGGCACTAATTATCAACTTGGTCCAGCAACAGACCTAATGTATCTGACGTCTGGTACATATTTTAATACATTATTTTAATAATAAATAATAATAAGGTTCTGTAAGTATAAAACAAAATAGACACTTGAAGGGCTAAGAGCCAATTAAGCAACAAAGAACTTTTAATTCAAAACACATAAAAATAAAAATAAAAGATTACATACAGCAAACATTTCGACACTAATCGGGTCATTCTCAATATTACATATTATAATTGTAAAACTCTATTGGAAATTTATAAAACATATAATTCTCAGTATTTTTTCTTCTCGTGTCTTATGTTAAAATGTAACGAGTCAATAAATTAAAATAATTAAATTAGTGTTGAAAACTTCTCGGTATATAGTAAGACAGTATAATAATCTATAAAGTGACCGTTAACAAAAGAAAATTAATGCTAAGTACATAAAAGCTAACAATATACATATATAAATATAATAATGTACCTTACCATAAATATTTTACATTATTTTAATTTTAGTGTACTTTTTAGATTGATTTATATTTATGAAAAATTTAATATACATACGCGCGCGCGCGGCTGTTATAAAAATTAGAATCAGGATAAGATGATAGTATACATATATTTCGTAATAGGTATATTTCATATTATGGAGAATGAGTTTCTTTTCTGCTTATAGGAGCGTCTGATGATTGGGCCAAAGGCATTGCCTCGATAAAGTACGCATACACGGTGGAATTACGCGATCGCGGAACTTATGGATTCCTATTACCGGCTACACAAATAGTTCCGACTGCACGTGAAATTTGGGCAGGAATCCGAGCGATTGCTCGCTTAGTTACTTGCAATACATGAAATCTATGTTTTTTACGCTTCTAATGCGTATCTAGTGTTCGAATTTTCATTTTTTAATCCAGAAAACAGAGATTATAACAGGATCAGTAACTTAATAAGGATCAATAACTCGATAGATATATCGAGTGCTGATTTCTATCGATATATCACTCAATATAATTAAATTAAAATAAAGAATGATATTTTAAAAACCGTTCTGATTAAATTGTAAAGATTTATGACTGCCTTAGATATATGTTAATTTTTGTACATTTCTGTTTGTAGTTGTAGAGTATGTGAAGTATATTTGTATAACAGAATTATATTTATAGTTAGTGAAAAGAGTGTGTATAATATAATATGTGAATGTAGCTATTATTTATTTTATTATATGCTATAATAATATCAAATACTTTTGTACAAATAATAGTACACTAAGAATTGTCCTACTTTATTTATTAAAATTACATACATATCAGGCTATTAGTTTGATTTTCGTAATTTTAATTTGAATGTACTATAAAAAACATAACACAACAAATAAAAGTATTTCTACTATAATGGAAATAAAGATGAAAATGAATTTCAGCATGTACACTCTAAAAAATAACATATTAATTTAAATTCAAAGACGTCGAACCAATGGGGAGAGAATCTGTTTTAAACGTTTAAAGAACGTATAAATGTGTTCATTAAACACTTAAAAAACATTCAAAAAAAATTCTTTCCTCATTGGGGAGTGGATTTTCTAAGATACAAAAATGTTAACATTAACACAAAAATATTAATTTTAACGTTTTTACATGTTTTAGAAAATCCACTCAACGTCTTCGAGTTAAAATTAACATTTTATTTTTTGCAGTGTAATAATTACATGATAAAATCCACTAGCGTTAATATACTTAAAGATTAATATACTTAAAGAGACAAATGAATGATTAAAAAACAGTCAATGCATTCTTATCTAATATACGTTCAAGGAGTTGCGTTATCAAGATTAATCCAAAATACACTTATACCTTATCGCAAGATATTTCCGTTATTTTGTAGTATATAAACCGTAAGATCTTGTTCAGTACTTCTATTGAACGTAATGACAATGTTGATTCGGTGTTTTTTAGTTACTGTTCTAATATTCCAGGGTAAGAATATTCATTTTGAGCACATTAATGTTATACTATATATATATATATTATATATATGTGTGTATGTGTGTATGTACATGTATACATAACTTTTTAAATAAAAATAAAGCTCGTATATTTTATATTTTTAAATATAATGACAACTAATATGCAGGTAACATTTTTTTCACAAAATTATTAAGTATGTATATCTAAATATAAATATACAATAAGATTACTGATCTATAAATAAATAAAACACTTGATAAAAAATATTAAATATACAGAAAAATTTTAATTTTAATCCTATAAATTATGTAAAAAATTAAGTAAATATTCAGAATGTTATGTGCTTTTAAATAAAAGGTTTATTTATGAAACAGTATTACATAAATAATTAAAATAAGACTAAAATATATTGTAAACACTGAAATGTTTAAATTTTGCAAAAATGTCATTATATTTCTAAGAGAATTATATGTTTAAAATTTGTTTAAACATTTTTATAGTGTGTCTAGCCGTCCCTTTCGGCCTGAAACCCAGAATCACAGATGGTGAGGATGCCACACCAGGAGAATTTCCTTATCAGGTCTCTCTTCTGTGGAGTTTGCCACCCATTATTCCTTTCCAACACATCTGTGGTGGTTCGATTGTGCATGAGAGTTTTATTTTAACTGCGGGACATTGCGTAACAGATGGCAAACTTAAAATTATGGTTGGCAAGCATTATCTTGATAAATATGAACAAACTCAGCAAGAAGTTGACGTTGTTAAGACTTACGTAAACGAAAATTATCCAGGGTATGTCTATTATTTTTATTTGTAATTAAAAATTAATATTTCAGAAACTGAAATTCTCATACATTAGGAAAAATGTTTAATTTTTTGTTGTATCAACGTAACAAGAAGTACGAATAAAACAAAATTTCATTGTATAAATCAGAATTTTAGTTAGCACTAAAACTGAATTTATAGTTATCTCGACTAAAATGTTTGACAAATCTAAGTATACAAAATACATAATAATTTTTAAATAACAAACTCCTGTATAAATCAAAAATTAACTTGGAAAGAAAAGGGCACTAGGAGTCAAGCGCAGATAACTTCACGCAACGCCGATATACATACATATATCAAGCTAATCTATTATAAAAAATTATTAAAAAATTAAGCTTACATATTTCGACTCATTTTTAGCCTTCTTCAGAGACAATAAAAATTACATAAATAAATTATAATTTAAAATTAACAAAGGATAAAAATATGTTTAATCATAGTGAGCTCCCTCACAACCGAGAAATAGGTTCTGATGACAATTTCATCCTAAGAAGCACAATCAAATGAATAATAACGGAAGAAAGGAAAGAAATAAAAGAAACATATATGAAACTTTCGAAGAGTCTTCTTTAATTGATTTGTTAAATAAAAGAAAGTTGAAATTTTCTGGGAAATTAATTTTCCAGGATGTCTTAGAAAAATAATAATTTCGAAATTAAATTAATCAAATTGCAACTATTTTACCGGGAGTGAGGAGACTCACCATGTTCACCACGATACTGCATCGCAAACAATCTCAAAACCGGTCTCCAGAATAATTAGGCCAATCAGTCTCAGACACAGTGAGTCACTGTCTCGCTTGTGCATAGTGGTGAATCGTAGCATTTGAATTTTGTGATTTGATAATTTAATTTAATACTGTCAAACTATTTGTTGTGACTCACTGTGTCTGAGACTGATTGGCCTAAATTATTCTGGAGACGGATTTGAGATTGTATAAAACAATAAAAATTTTGAGAAGTATAAAACGGAAAGTTGATATGTGTAGCTTAATTTCTGATTGAATTTATCAGAATCACAATTAATGCAACAAAACTGGAGAAAGGATTACACTTCATTGATTACATTAATTTTACTTATAATTATATTTCATAAAATCTTGAATAACGCGCATAAATTACGTTGCAAACCCTTTTGGTTTCTGAGACATATAATTTCAAAGTTTTCTGCTTGTTAAATTTTAAAATAATATATATCAAGTAAATATATATCAAGTATATATATGTATATTGTATATATACATACAATATAATTAAATAGAACAATAGGAGTAATAATCAAGGCAATGAGCCAAAAACTAAACGCAATAGAAAATTTTCAAATTAAGTATAATATAAATTTAAAATTTAATACAGACGTTTCGACTCCGATCAGGTCATCTTCAATGTAACAAAAATAAATTAGAAATTTCAGTGTCGCTAATAGATAAATACAATATCAGGAAATTATTCGCATCTTGAAATTGCAGTCCATCAATTAAAAGTTAATCCAATAACAGTAAATTCAATCTAATAAAATTTATATAATTTGTTATCAGAATAAATAATTAAATAGATCTTTATATAAGAAAATTAAAATCATTATTTTAATTCTTCTTGTGAAATGAAAAAAAAGTTATACTTCGCTTTGCGTGGAAAGTCGAAAATCCATGGAAAAGAAATCAATTATATAGATTCTATCTCGCTCTTAACAGTTAAATAAAAAAAAATATAATTAGTATTTATTGGCATTTATTTTAATAAAGATAATTTGAAACGATTATTATATGTACATATAACAAATTATATAAAAAACAAAGATTTACTTAATCAATGACAATCGCGACTCTGCGTATAATTATTACAAGGAAATTATCCAAAATGCCTGTCTTCCTATGGTGATGAAAATACAATCATATTATTCCTTGTTTTCACATTAACACTCTGGTTGGCTGAATATTTTCCAACGCTTCATAATTTATATTGCCTGATTTATATTTGTACTACTAGATATCTTCGTAAGCTAATCCATTTTAACACGAACTCTCATTCAAATACACTACCTGATACTCGTCAGCAATACTAACTTTGTCGTACTCATAACATATCTAAATTTCAGAGTGCTTTCTCTTACAATGCAGTGAAATTTTATAATACTTTGCCATCTGCTTTACGCTCTCTATCACGGCTTCCTGTATTTCGGTCGGAGATTACTCGATATATTGCCTCAAAGTTTTAATATTAGAGCAACTATTTAAACTTTTCTTCTTATTATTTTGTACGAGTAACGTATGTTATACCTTTTCTTTCTATTATTTTATACAGTAGTTTACGTATTTATGTATTTATAATTTAATTGTCTTGAATCAATTTAATTTCTGTAAATCACTTATTCTGTAATATTCAGGTACGGCTTCAAATTAACTGCTTAGCTATTACCCAGCCTATTAGTAGTGTAACTGATATGTAATATCAATATTACCGTATTTGATCTCTTTAATATTAACAGTACACACAATAAAGTTATTATTACTATCATAATTAAAAATATTAATATAAAATTAAATCTAATAATGTTTATAATAATTTGTATAAAATCATCTAATATAATTAAAACACATCTATTCGTAAAATATCATACAAAAAAGTATTTACTTTTTATATATATTATATGTATAAAATGACATTAATGAATTTAAAAATATACATGTAAATTAAAATGTTAATAATTAGTTCATATTGTAAAATGTAAATTATATCTAACTACAAATGTAGGTTATATCTAAAATATTGGAATCACAAATGTAATTATATCTAAAATACTAAAAATTGTTTAGTATTTTGTGAGAACTATGTGATAGATATATATAGATTTAATTTTCTTCAAGAGAATTTATAAAAGTATTTATGACACTTAGATATCATATACAATCATTTCACAATTCGCAATATATGTCATGATACAAATTATCATTCCCTAATCTGAATTTGTGTTTTTTCAACTGATAATGAGTCTAAAATGTGATTACGATATTTTGAACTTTATTGTATTCCTTTTTACAGAGGTATTGCTCCATATGATATCGCACTTCTGAAACTTAAAACTCCTCTCACTTTTAACAAGTGGATATCCCCTGTCAAATTACCTGAACAAGATGCAGTACAAATTGGAAATGCTGTACTCACTGGGTGGGGCTCCGTCTCCAAGACATGGTTTCCAAGGCTTGCCGTCGTTCTCCAAAAAGTTACTGTTCCCTTGTTGGACAGTAAATCTTGTCAAGATAAATTCTCGAACATTGATGAAGCACAAGTTTTTGATTCACAAATCTGCACTGCTGCTATTGAGGAAATATCCGCTTGTTCTGTAAATAAAATTTAACTTTTTATATTTCTTTCTTGTCTTTGCAATTAATCACGTAAACGTAGTAATATGATTATAAAAAGAATAATTATTCTCAATTTTATATTTTCTAAATTTCTTAAAGTAAAATCTCATTCCAAAAGAATTGAAATACTGCCACTATTGAAACAGTGGGAAAAAATTGCACTCTTGAACGAGAATGGCAGATTTTTACTTTTTTTGGATTGAGATTTACTCCAAAGAAAAGAAATCTTATTCCTTTTTTGAAGTAAATCTCGTTCCAAAAGTACAAAATCTTCAAGAAAAAAGTGATAGAGAAAAAAATCTGCCCCTCTTATTCAAAAGTGCATTTTTACCTTTTTTTCAATAGTAGCAGCATTTTAATCCTTTTTTGGTTAGATCTCATTCCAAGGAGAGTATTTATTATCTACTATTTGTATTGTATTATATCTGTTCATCAGTTATTTTGTTAGTCTATTTCGAGTAGGATTTTAATCTTAACATTATAATGTATAGATATTGTATAATATGCGAATATTATATAGATATAACTTACTACACGTTTAAACTTATTATTAATGTTATAATACAACAAAGATAATTAGATTATTAAACACAAAACACTTTTTTAATACAATATCTTTAATAATTAAATATTTTTTATGTAGGGTGACTCTGGTGGTCCATTGGTCCAATTTGAAAACAACGTTCCTACTCTAGTTGGAATCACTTCATGGGGTATCTACCCGTGCGGTACTAGTCACATGCCTTCGGTCTACACCCGCGTAGCTTCTTACACTACCTGGATTAAATTTATAATATGGATTGATGATGTTAATCAACGTCAGTCAAATTTTACTAATTAATATACCTATTCTTGTCAATATTTATATATTCAGACATAATTCTATATTTTATTATTAAAATATTAAAACACTGATAATCTATAAATTAAAGAGAAGATTGCTAATAACTAAAATTAGCCAAATAATACTGAGGAACAATAATGTTACATTTTATATAATGCTAAAGAAGTTGTTATAAGTAAGTTAATTACAGTATATTCTTTGTCTGAATCCTGTATATAACATAAAAAGTTGAAATAAAAGAAAAATAATTGTCTGGTTTTTTGTCTATAATTATTATATTATATACCAAATCTTCAGTTAATCATAGCTAAAGAAATTATATATAATTATTTATTATATATAAATATTGCATGATTTTAATATTTTAGACTATATCTACCTTCATAATTTTACATAAATATACCGTACAGAGAGAGAGAGAGAGAGAGAGAGAGAGAGAGAGAGAGAGAGAGAGAGAGAAAATATAAAATTTAATTTTAAAGTATTAATTTTAGTTTTTAATTAAGTCTTTTAAATAGATAAAGTAAAATAAGTTCTTAATATTATAAATTACGTCGTACAGTAAACTTATAACAATTAAGTATTGCATATTCGTAAACCCAGATATTATAATACTAAAGTTAATATTAGGGAAGAAAAACAATTACTATATGTATATATCTTTTTTTTTTCAATAAATCATATAAGCGTTAACATATTTAATATTTATACACATTATTAGAAATATCAAATACTTTAATAATCTTTTATATAATGGAAAAGTACTATCAAATATAACATAAATGAATAACTTTTATAAAAATTATTAAAGATTAATAATAATGTGAAATAAATCATTTTGAAGAAATGAAAAAAAATTTGGTTTTCATAAAACAATAAGAAGCTTTTGACATGATTAAAAAATTATTCTTATAACTCTTGCAAATATAACTATTTTTAATATTAATTAAAAATACATGTTATAAAGTATATCTACTATTTGTAAAGAATATAAAACAATTTAATAAAAGACAAAGCGAGTGTAAAGTATATATACAGAATTCTTTCAGAATTGTAAAAGAGAGATGAAATAAATAATATAAATATTTTTTATTCTCTGCAATATAAAAATTATTATTTACGCTTAACAATAAAAGAGATTAACCGTGAATATCGTAATATAAAACGTATAATTTTATACGTTTTTAATTAAGTCTTTTAAATAGATAAAGTAAAATAAGTTCTTAATGTTATAAACGTATAATTTTATATTCATATAGTATTGTGATTTCATCAGATGCACTGTCTTTCCTGCATTAACAATGAAAATTTTATCTTCGATATTAAGAGATATAACTTGATATCGAATAATAACTTTATTAATATAATACTTTCACTGCTTTTATTTTTATATTCGTTTCTTTCATTATTAATTATCCATCATAAAGCTTTTTACTACGATAATACTAATTTTGTCCATAGAGCCATTATATCATTTCATTTAAATTAATATGAGATGTTAACTTAATATATATTCTTCTTTTTGTATTAATTAATTTGATTAATACTTGAGTTAAATAAAATTACTCGTATATTATTTGCTATGTAAGAGTTAGAAGTTCTACTCACAATAGAGAATAATTCATGGAAAACGAACAAAGGAAACAAATAACCAAATATTTTTCACTGAGGTATTTTGGTTTTTTATATACATATCCTCTCTAACAATGTTTTTATTCTTAATCTAAACTATTTATTGGAATTATGTTGAAATATAAAACAATCTCGATAGAAAAATAAATCAAAAAGTAAATCCATTCAATATATCATATACTAAATTATTGATTTTCCGTATTTTTTTAATACCTATATACATTTAATGATTGATCGTAATCAGATAACAATAATACAGTTTATCTATTGAATAATTTATCATAATTGGATTTACAGTTTAATTAATTGAAGCTGCTAAAACAATGTTTTATTGTTACTACTTAAATGTTAAATAAATTTAACATTTAATTAACATATTAAGACCGCGATTTAAATAATAACGAGAAGATTAATAAAATAGAAGAAAAATTAATTGTATTAATAATATTTTTAATCATTGTTACGTTTATTCTGTCTTGTTAAATTAATTTATTTCCAAGTGATAACAAAATAATAAAAATATATTTTATTATAATTGATTTTTACATGCATGCCTTAGCTTAATAGTTTTATTTATATAGATGTTTTTAATTTACTAATGAGCACTTTTTGTCTAAAAAATACTGATTAAGAGTTACATAAATTAATTAATTATATCTTAAATATAAAGTGTAAATAAATAATGCATTTGTTCTTTTTATAAAAATGTTAGTCTATTCATTTATATATTTTATATTGGCATCCAATTTCACAGAATATATCTTATTTTATATTATGTGTAGAATTAATACTATTATTAAAATATACTATAATGTATAAGATTAGTAGTATCGTTTGTTTAAACTGAGTCATACATGCCATTCAATTTAATATTAATATGAATCAAATACACAAAGAAGTCTGCAATAAAATCCTTCTTATCGTAAACGTATTGTGATTTCCTATTGATTATGATTAATTATCATCTCTCATCTTTATTGATAACATACTGTTGCACTCAACGAAATGAGTATAAAATGCAGTAAACTTTTTGAATTGACATCATACAGCGAAATGTTTTCCAAAGCAATCGTGTTCTGTGCCCTCCTAACAGTGGCGGTCGCTGGTAAGTCAATTTTCTTGATTTCTGTAATATACACAGAATGTTTTCTAATAAATGGACATAACTTCATCAGGAATAAATTCAGAACAGAAAATAACACAGAGTTTATTGATTTATATGGTTTCATTTCCGAGTTACAGACATTTTCATGTTTTATTAATTCTAGTTATAAAAATTGAACCGACACAGTAATTTCACACTTTTGTTATACTAATAGTCAATAAGATGCAATAAAGGTGCGTCAAGAAGTGTACAAATGCTGTGCCAGCTCATTTAATAACGAGAGTTAAAGAATATGCTAACGCCTCTTTTAATTGTTGAAGAACTACTTTATATTTTGTAAACGTATCATAAAAAAACTATCTATAACTCTATGTTCTGTGATTAACTTCTTTTATCGCAAATGTATTTCTTTAAATATTATTAATTTAAATTTAAGAGAGGCCCCGAGTTGGTCTTCAGATGCCGCCGATTTTGCAGCGTTTTGCTCGCCCGATCTCGCCACAAGTGGTTGGAGGCGAAGAAGCGCCAAAAGGAGGTTACCCATTCATAGTTTCTTTGCAAATGTTCTCTCAGCATTTCTGCGCCGGATCCATTTTGAACAAATATTGGATCATAACAGCAGCACACTGTACTGAAGCAGTTTCTTCATTAAATTATCTTCGCGTTAAGGCTGGTAAGCACAATATTCAAGAAAACGAAAACACTGAGCAGACAGTTCAAGTGGCGCAAGCTTATGTACATGAAAACTATCAAGGGTAAGTAGAACTTTGAAAAGCAATAAGTACAAATAATTTAATCTATCTCCGATAAAATGTTAATTTTATTGCAATACATATGTGAGTAATTATTTCTAATATATTTTTGCTTGTTAAACACGAATCCATTGACAAAATTTAACCAATACATAATAATTATTTTAAGAAAAATGGCATCAATGAAGCAAAACATTATAACAATTATTTTAAAGGTTTTTATGATGTAATATTAGTACTAAATTTTTTCTTAAATTTTATTAATGACACTTCAATCTATCTTAAACCATCAACGTAGAACTTTTTAATGTATTATGATTTGCCTCAATATGATTTTTTGCTTTTGAGATATGTATGTACATATACATACATGCAGATACATATACAAACATATTATAATACATAGGAAAAGAACTATTTTAAACTGATATATCTTAAAAATGAAAATTTATATTAAAACAAACTAAAATACATTTTGAAGCTAAAAGTTGACGCGTTTCGCATAGCATTGATAAAATTTTGGAAAAACAATGATATGTACAATGTTATGAAAATCCTAAACATTGTCATTTTTCCCTTTCATGTCATCATTTTTAAACTGTGACATATTAGCTCATCAACGAGTTCGTATTTAGCAGACAAAAAAATGTCAGAAATAACTATTCACATACATATTGTAAAATGAATTAGACGATGTTCTTATAAGAATAAATAGATACTCGTATTTATAGATATATCTTATATTTAAAAAAAATATATAATATTAATCTATCTAATATATATATATATCTATTTAATATATATAATATTAATATATTAATGTTTTATTTATATATAATTCACTTATAACTTTTTTGTATATAGAGATAATTTAGAGTATTTAGATCAAAAGAACTTTTAAATTAATATTCAGAAATTTTATTTATTGAACAAATGCAACAACTATCAATGATATAGTATTGATATCACGATTAGCACTTGATTAGAACGTTATGTTTCAGATAAACTCGCGCGTGCGCGTGATGTGACCTGTTAATTCAATCTAGAATCTTTCACAATATACGCATAATATTTCTATATATTGACTGAAGATTATTTTTACAGTATTGATATTAATATCACGATTAGCACTTGATATTATGATTAGAACGTTATGTTTCAGATAAACTCGCGCGTGCGCGTGATGTGACCTGTTAATTCAATCTAGAATCTTTCACAATATACGCATAATATTTCTATATATTGACTGAAGATTATTTTTTATTATCTTCCACTAATATTACAATATAATTTTTCATTTTTATTTTAAAAGCAATTAATTTTTTAAAATTAGTAATTAATAAATATAATTGTATGTGTGTGTATGTGTGTAGAGAGAGAGAAAGAGAGAGATCAATACATTTTTCTAATTTTTAGTGGTGTTGGCCCTTACGACATATCTCTGCTTAAGCTTGCGTCTCCATTAAAGTTGACGAAAGAAGTACAAGCCATTGAACTACCACAGCCAGAAAGCGAACCAACTGGAGAGGCATGGCTTTGTGGATGGGGCTCTACTTCGACTAGCCGTTTTCCAATAATGCCAGATAAACTTCAGCATGTTAAGATGGAATACGTAGATCGCACTACTTGCTACGAATCCATCAAACGTTTGACGGGATCTTCTCCCGTTCATGAAACCAATGTCTGCACTGGGCCATTGTACGATCAAATATCCGCATGCAGTGTAAGTGATATACATATGTATTCAATAAATTCAGTAAATGAGCTTCAATAGTTTTGTCATCGTTTTAAAAATATAATAATTTAATATATACTTTAATACATTTTTAGGGAGACTCCGGTGGCCCATTAATCTCACGTAACGGACAAAAACCGGTTCTTACTGGAATTGTATCTTGGGGTATTATTCCATGCGGTAGTGCAGGAGCGCCATCCGTATACACCAAGGTATCCAGTTACAATAAATGGATTACGCAAAAAATCAATAATTATTGATGACGATAACATTGACGATGTATCAACTCATACTGAATGACAAATTATATATTATTCATTATTATGCATTATAATGTATTATTTAATATAAAATACAATAAATGTGCAGCATACATATATAACAATAACGTTTTTTGTATTTCCCTTTTGTATATACAATAATAAAAAGTAAAAACCAATTAACAGTTATTTGATTAACTGAACAAAACGCTTATGGCAAAATTTATTTCTATTTGTATTTTTATTTAATTTAATTTAATAGATAACAATCATGTTATTATCTTAAATATACACGTGTATATCTGTGTGTTTTAATAACGTTTTTGTTTTAATAACAATTCGTTTACATACAATACATATTTTAATATCTAAATCATATAACTAAAGATTACATATGCAGAGTATATTATTTTAAATGATATAAACGATTATATATATATATATATATCAATATATATATATGTTTAAAGAAAGGAATTCTTGGAAAAAATATTTCAGACAATTGCATATTGTAAAAGAGAAAAAAATAATGGCAAAATCGATTTCAGATAACAATAATACGTCTTTATCTATTAATGTACGATCTATCATAATAGGATTTGCAGCTTAACTGATTAAAGCTAAAAGAATGTATTTCATGATCTACTTAAATAAACTGTTTATTTAGGTATTAATTAGTTTATAATAGTACATCCGTTCATTTAGAATGTGATTAACTAATATGCAAACAAAAAACAAATAAGAATTAATTAAATTTGTAATAATATCGTGTATTATCATTATATTATCGGTTTTATTTAATTTAGTATAGTTTTATTGTTATTTGTTATACAGAGTGAGACATTTAAAACAGGTCATCTGAATAACTAGCTCGTTTTTGATAATAGAAGGAAAAATATTAAACAAAAGTTGCTTGGTGTCGAGGGGCATATAATATGATGTTAATAAGTGTTTTGTAGATGAAAGCGTAAAGGATAGGCAAAGATCAAATCCGTTTTTATAAATGGAACGATGTTTTTTTATTTACATTCTGATAGAGCATTTTAAGACGAATACAGTGACCTAAAATTGAAGGTCATTTAATGTTACGTAAAGAAAATAATTGAATGGAAAATAAATTGTTTGAAGACATTCTTCGAAATAATTTCGAATAATTTCGTGTCTTCTTTGCTTGTTGGTATATCGCTAATCGTTCAAGTGTATCACGGTATGTAAATAAACATTGAATCGCACAAAGCATTATCCATATTTACTGATCAGTTTGAATTTATCTATCGATCAAAGTGCGTGTCTTACGAAATGCGTTATATGAAAGCGGAAAAAAAGTCAATATGATTTTCATTTATGGTGATCTATATATTTCGCAAGACACATACTTCGATCGATAGATAAATTCAAACTGATCAGTAAATATGGATGCGATGCCTTGTACGATTCAATATTTATTTACATACCGTGATACACTTGAATGATTAGCAGTATGCCAACAAGCAGAGAAAACGAAATTATTCGAAGAGTGCCTTGAAACAATTTAATTTCCATTCAATTATTTTCCATTATTGACTTTGCGTAAACTTAAATGACCTTCAATTATAGTATTCGTCTTAAAATGCTCTATCAGAATGTAAATAAAAAAACATATCATTCCATTTAAAAAAAAACAGATCTCCACTTACAAAACAATTATTGGCATCACATTATGTGCCCCTCGAAATCAAGTAACTTTTGTTTGATACTTTTCCTTCAATTGTTAAAATCAAGCGAGTTATTCAGGTGACCTGTTTTAAATGCCTGTATATAGTTTACAATATTTTAAAATTACAATTACTGTTTGAATAATTAAACTATGTTTTATCAGCTTTTACTATATCAATTTCTTAATATTCATGTTTTATTTGGACATCTTTGTTTTTATCGATGAATGCAACTTTTGTAAAATAATTAATTAAATTCAATATCTTCTGAACATTCTTTATGAAAACTGAAGTGTATATATTTATACATTTTATATCAGTATATCTCGTTGTTTAAAAATCATTATGCAATTAATTGCAGATTATTATCATTGAAGTATACAATATGATAAAGATATTAATAGCATTGTATAAATTATTTGTAGAAATCATTTGTATTGTGTCTTACAATTCAATATTTTTTTTGTAGTAATTAATACACATAAAAATACAAAGAATTATCATGTTGAATAAAAACTTTCTTATCGTTAAAGTATTATGATCAATTCTAACAGATAGTAATGGGTTATCAGCACATCATCACTGATATCGTACCAATGCACTCGACGAAATAGGTATAAAATACGGTTTATTCATAGAATTGTTATCAAACAGTAAAATGTATTCCAAAGCTACCGTGTTCCTTGCTTTTCTAGTCATGGCGATCGCTGGTAAGTCAATTTTCTAGAAATATGCGAGTGTGAGTGTGTGTGTGTATGTATACGTATATGTTTGTATTTAGGTACGTTTACAAAATTATTATTAAAACAATGTATAAAAAAAATTCTTTTATTAAAAAGTATTGTAACTAAATTATTCTATTGTTATATACATTGCAAGTAACAAAATTTTTAATTATATTATTATATTACTATATAATTATATTACTAATTATATAATTATATTACTATAATTATATTACTAAAAATTCTACTAATCTTATTTCATAAAGAACTAGCTTTGACATACTACCATTAACTTATTCCGTCATAAATATTTTCAAATTATAGAGAGACCCAGAGTCGGTCTTCAGATGCCACCTATTTTGCCGCCTATTGCTGATCTGATATCGCCACGAGTGGTTGGAGGTGAAGAAGCAGGTGCAGGAAGTTATCCGTTCATAGTTTCCCTTCAAATGTCCTCCCGACACATTTGCGCTGGATCCATCTTGAATGAAGAATGGGTTATAACAGCAGGGCATTGTATAGAGGCCGTTCCTTTTTTATTTCTTCTTCGCGTCAAGGCTGGAAAGTACAATCTTCAACTTATAGAAGACACCGAACAGACAGTCAAAGTGGCGCATACTTACGTACACGAAAATTATAAAAAGTAAGAAAAAATTTGAAAGTAATAAATATGAAAAATTCAGTTATAATAATTCTTAAACGAATGATTTCTGTTTAGTACGGAATCAATGTTCTATTTATAATCGATTTCTAATTATATACAGATGTAATCTAGAATGTAATTTTATACCAATAATCAGTTCTTTTTGCAAAATAATTGCAATAATCGAAATAATGACTACTGGTAGTCTTAGAATTGACATTAATATTGCGATTAGCATTTGATATTAGGATTAGAAAACTATATTTTTAATAAATAATAATGTTGATGTATAAATTACTTTAAAAAATTTATTGCGTTATATCATATACTTAGATTTTCTTAATATTAATTTTGCAAATTATTATTATTCTTCACACAATACTACAAAATCTGTTTTAGTATTAATACATTGATTTAAAAACTGTGTTCCTAGAAAAAAAAATGAATAATTAATAAGTATATAATTTTATATATACATGTATTGCAATGTACATGTTCTAATTTTAGTGATGTTGGCCCATATGACATTGGTTTGCTTAAGCTTGCATCTCCATTGAAGTTGACAAATATGGTACAACCCATCCAATTAGCACCTCCAGAAAGTGAACCAACTGGAGAAGCATGGCTTAGTGGATGGGGCTCTATCTCGACTACCACAGATCGAATATTGCCAAATAAACTTCAGCATGTTAAGATGGAGTACATCGATCGTACTACTTGCTCCGAATCTGTCAAACGTTTGACGGGAACTTCTCCCGTTCATGAAACCAATATCTGTACTGGGCCACTGTACGATAAAATTTCTGCATGCAATGTGAGTGTCAGACATAGTAATTCAGTAAATGATAATATGATAATTATGAATGTAACAATTAATATGTTGTTACTTTTTTACACTTTTAGGGTGATTCCGGTGGTCCATTAATCTCATATAACGGAAAAAAGCCGATACTTACTGGAATTGTATCTTGGGGTATTATTCCATGTGGTACTGCAGGAGCGCCATCCGTATACACCAAGGTATCCAGTTTCAATAATTGGATTGCACAGAAAATTAATCCAAATTTCTCTCAGTTATATTTGAGCAATATTGACGATGTATGAATATACTGAATAACAAATTATTATACATTATTTAACATAAATAATAAATATCCAGCGTAAATAAAAAGTATATTTTCTTATTTCTATCCCACACATAATACAAAAACTAATTTTATTTCTTATACATTTATTTAGTCATCTACATATGTATGACAGTTTATTTTATATCGAAATTAAATTATAATCCATCAAAATACATCTCATGGATCATTATTTTGGAAACTTACCTTCAAACAATTATTTAATTTATAAATTTGCATTTGTGTGTGTGTGTGACTTTTTAAACAATTAAACTAATGAATATCGATGAGAACATGTCGTAACGATCAAGTTAAATCTCGGGTGTTTCTATATACATATATAATTATATGAATTAATATACTATGTTTGTAGATTTTTAATTGCACGCCGAATTTTTCTCAGATTTGAAATGCAACACTACTAAACTGCCGCAGTAATATCACGAGTTACATTGACTAATAATTTAACATTTTTTTATGCTCTTTGTGCATCTTTTTTAAATCGATCCTAATAATGTTGAATGACATATTAAAATCTATAAAAACATTAATCTTTCATTACGAAAGATATTACCTCGGCCAGGAGTTGAACCCGGATCTTTGGTATTCCGTGCAAGTGTCCTAAGCCTTTAGAGTACCGAGGCTTTAGTAATATTCTTTGCAATAATTAGTATAAGTGAGTACAATGTCTATTTTGCAGGCGACGTAAACAAACAATATCAAATAAAAGATAAACAATTATATTAAGATAAGCATTTTAAAATTAAATTCAAAGTTGGAAACTTTATATATAGAAATAATATAATGCAATATCGTTATATTTACTCGGAATTTATTCCTGTTACTGTTTCTTAGAAAGTAATGATTTATTATTTTTTCTGTTACATTTTGGTCATGTTAAAGTAAGAAAAATTATTTAATAAAACCATATAAATTGTAAAATCAACACTCAGATTCTAAACTACTCTCTATACAGTAAAATATTTTTTATACTAAACTTATATCGGATAAACTTCCGAAAATGGCCAACCCCGATTATTATGAAATTTGGCAGAAATTCTTTAAATGACGTCAAATGAATGCTCTTAAAAGGATTTTCACCGACAAGAAAGTTTAGTACCAAAAATGTTTGAATGAAGTTGCAGAAATAAAACGTTATTCTTTACACTTTTAGACTTTCAACGTGAAGCGATTTTTCTCAAAAAAAAAAAGGGGGAAACAATAACTAACATCTTATTTTGTGACACACACACACACACACACACACATGGGGGGAGGGGGTGCAAGGGGGCAGACCTACGGCCCGCCCCCTCCCGCACCCACCCCGTCGGCAAAGGTCTCCCCCAACAGTACAATCATAGCAACAGTACAATCATGGAAGTCGTGTGTCCCTTGGCAAGAGGGGAGAGGGGGGTGAAAGTGAAAGTTACCTCGCGTGGAAAGTTCCTGAACAGGGAAAGGTGTAGAATAGTACTTAATATCACACATGTATATCACACGTTAATTTTAAAACTATGATTGTAATCGGAGAATTGATAAGTTTTTTAAAATTATGGCCTATTTCTATCAAATTAATGAAGAAAATAGTACTGAAGAAAATAGTAATTATATAAGTTTACAAATTTCAAATAAATGTTATTTTCAAAACTATTATTTTTGAAACTTTATTTGTTCATAACTTTTTAACGAAGGACGAACGACGACCTGTTGGAGGTTACTCAGGGTCATGATCTTGACAACATATGTCAAGGTCAAGGTCATAGCGCTGGCCTCCCTTTTATACACTTTTACCATAATTTCATTCAAACATTTCTGGCATTAAACTTTCTTGTCGGTGAAAAATTGATCCATTGAAGGGCATTCATTTGACGTCATTTGACGTCAATTTTATGATAATCGGGCATTGGCCACTTTCGGAAGTTTACCCCTTATATTATATCTAATAAATTTATAATTCTTTATATTAATATTTTTACTAATATAAAATAAATGGAGAGCTCTCGAGATTTAAAACAAAAATAATAAATGTGTATAAACTTAATTAGCAGGCAATTGAGAACTAAGAATAAACGCAGTTATTCGTGCGTATAATAAACAAAAATATATTTAATCAAAAACGATCTTACATTGAATTCGCAAGAAATTTCGCAAAATTTGTACGTTTCGGTTTCATTCGAGTTATCATCAACGATGTCAAACAATAGATGCAGGCATTATTCACATCAGTGAGGTTCGAGTAAGCAGCCAGAAGAGCCACTTTAATTCGACATTTTTGAGAAACATTAACGCCAATTAACTGTATAGTTAAGTGTGTCACTGAACGTACAACATGATTGAATTAATAAAATTATAAAATAAAAAATGTATTCAACTAATTGAAAAACACGTTGCAAACTCTGATCATACATAACGCAAGATGAAAAAAATAATATTTTTAACTTTTAAGACTCGTATATGGTTATTTTTATTATCAAATAAATTAATTCGGTAATATTTATATATAATACATTAATCATGCAATTTACGATAATGTCGTCAATCGTCTGAGAGAATTTTTTTTCTTCTCCAGGGTATCGATCATGTAACTTTTTGTCTAGGACAGAAACGTAAAAAGTGAAAATTTTTTGCATGTATGTGTGTATATGTTCATACAAATATTCATAAAAGTTTTCACTTTTCACGTTTCCGCCCTAGAGAAAAAGTTACATGATTGATACCCAGTTTATCAAATTAAAATCTATATTGAACGATAAATTTTCCGCATGCAGCGTAAGTGTCAGACGTTCAATAAATTCATTAATTAACAGTGACTTTATTACCGCCTATTAATATTCAATTTAATGTATTAAGTTTCTAATACACTTTTAGGATGATAATGATGCTTCATTAATTTCACATTTTTATCCCTTGTTTATCTATTGTACGAGCCAGTATAATAGAATTTGCAACTTAACTAATTAAAGAATGTTTCAACGTTACAACTTAAATAAATTTTATATTTAATTGTAGTACCAATTAGTTTAAATATGATTTAGTAATATTTAAACAAATAAGAAAAAGAATAAATTCTGTAACAATAATATTTATTACATTTTATTGTTATGTTCTCATTTTTTTGTGTAATTTAATTTAGTTTGTGACTTCTTCAACAATTTAGTTTACTTTAAAATTAAATCATTATCAGAATTTTTGAATTATTCTTTATTAATTTTTATACGCATTCCGTAACATCACATATGTTTTATTTGGATATTTTTGTTTCTATTAATGGACACTATCTCTGTAACAAAAATTAATTAAGTTTAATGTCTAAATAAATTAAATTTTAAATATTAAGTATAGATAATAATACATTTACATTCTTTATAAAAATTGTAAATTTATATACTTATGCATTTTATATCAGTATACTTAACTTTATAGAAGCAACTTTCTACTATAAGGTATTGTTATTGGGATGTAATATACTATACTACTAATAGCATTATTTCGTATAAATACAAATCATCTGTGCTATGCCGTATAGTTCAATATTCATATACATTACTATAAGTCAAATTACAAAGAAGTATCTGGAATACCGTTTTTCGTACGCCATAAAATATTATGATTAATTGACATAGATAATAATGTCTTGTCAGCATACAAATGCACCAGACGAAACAAGTATAAAATGCAGTCTATTCGGGAAATTGTCAAACAGCAAAAAATGTATTCCAAGGCTATCGTGTTCTTCGCTTTCCTAGCTATGGCGGTTGCTAACGGTAAGTCAATTTCCTCGATATATAAGATATACGCACAATTTATACTTAATTTTGTTTAAAAAATGGATCTCTAAGGCATTATAAATGTTTTCTTATTAAAACAGTTTTTAATTTATTAAATAAATAATAACTAATTTATTGTATTGTTGCACAAATTACAAATCAAATAGCAAAATTTTGTTTTTATTAAAAAATTATTTTCTAAAATGATATTTTATAAAGAGCTGACTTTGATGTGATATAATTAAATTCTCCACAAATGTGTTTTCTTAAACACTAATAATTTAAATTATAGTGCAGCCTCAAGTCGACCTCCAGATGCCTATCAGTCCACGTTTTACTCCGTTTGAGACTTATGTGACTGGAGGTTCCGAAGCACCGGTAGGACGTTATCCATACATAGTTTCTCTTCAAAGTCGCGGAGAACACTTTTGCGGAGGATCCATCTACAACGAACGAACAATTATAACAGCAGCATTGTGTTAAAAAAAGAAATGCAGATCGTCTTACTGTCAAAGCTGGAAAGTTCATTATTAACACTAAGCCTACTGAACAAACAGTTAGTGTGCAAAAAATACACATACATGAAAAATATAGAGGGTAAGCAAAACACGGTAAAAATAAGAACAATTCGTATTCAAATAATATTTGTATAATATGTCATACATCGATGTTGCATTTACAACTAAATTTAACCGTATTTAGAGATAATCTAGAACATATTAACTTTTGCATCAATAATAATCAGCAGTTATATTTGTAAAATAAATATACAACAATCAAAATTACTACTACTAATATGTAATATCGCACCATTATTTGGCATTAATATCGTGATTAGCGAGACTTAAGATTATTATTATTCAGAAAATTATATGTGATAATAGAAATATTCTATATATTAGGAAATCATATTTTAAATAAGTAATGAGACAAATAAATTATATTTTGATATTTGTTTTGATATACACATGTATTTTACTAATTCAGCAAATTAATGGTATTTTTTTTTAACAAATATTACCTTTTTTTTAGTATTAACACGTTAGCATAAACACATATCTTTTTAAAATTGTATAATTAATAATTAAATTAAATTAATATCCGCTCAAATAAATTTCCAAATTAAACTTAATATACCTCCCAGGTCAAGAACAAATTGAGCTATACTAGTTGTTAAAAATATATATAAATTTATTATAATAATAACACTTACTGATGAGTCCAGTAGTGGAAGCCGGGACGAAACGCTAACTTGTGATATTCTTCGCAATATACTAAATTAATTTTTAAGAATTCGGTTGCGGCTGTTGAGGACTCTGTGAAATCGAAACTTTCCGTATATACCGGTGTTATTATTATAGTAAATTTACATATATTTCTAACAACTAGTATAGCTCAATTTGTTCTTGACCTGGGAGGTATATTAAGTTTAATTTAATAATTAATAATCATATATAATTTTGTATATAATGAACTATAATATGTATTTTCAAATTTTAAGTGGCGTTGCCGTCCCATATGACATTGCTGTACTTAAGCTTAAATCTCCATTGAAATTGAACGATAACGTACGAGCTATCATATTACCACAAGCAAACAGTGAACCAACTGGCGTGGCTTGGCTTAGTGGATGGGGCTCTATCTCGACTACTAATGTTCCAAAAATGCCAACTAAACTTCAACATGTTCAGATGGCGTACGTCGATCGCAAAACTTGCGATAAGGCCCTCAGTAAACTGATGGGAACTCCTCGTTCTCGTGTTCATGAAACCAATATTTGCACTGGGCCATTGAACAAACAAATTTCTGCATGCGACGTATTTGTCAGATATTTAATAAATTTAGTGAATGATAGTAGCATTGTTGGCAATTGATGTAGCAATTATATAAATCCTTTCTAATACATTTCCAGGGTGATTCCGGTAGTCCACTTATCTCCTATGTAGGAGGAAAAGCGGTGCTTAATGGAATTATATCCTGGACTTATGTGCCGTGTGGTACTCGAGGCGCGCCAACCGTATACGTTAAAGTATCTAGTTTTAATAATTGGATTACGCAAAAAGCTCGAAATTGATGATGGCAATATTGACGATATATGATTGTATAATACTAAATAAGAAATTACATATTATTTAACATAAAATAAATATTTAGCAAACATTGAAAGCAATGTTATTTTACTTCTATCCTCCCAGTGTTTGCAAGTAATGTGCTATTTGTTATGTCGTTACCGTCATAAGTTACTTTTTTCGGTAATAAATAGGTAACTACGTTACATTTTCTTCGAAGTAACGTTCATGGTAACGCAGTGACATTTTTGGGGTAATGGTAACGATTTCACTAGTTAATTACTTTTATCGTTACTTTATCTCTAGCTACGTAAAAGTTTTATTCGTAACTAAAGCTATAGATAATTAAGTATAGAAAAAGGACGATAATAGTCAAGTAATAAAATGAAAATAATAAAGCGGTTAAACGTTAAGTATGTAATAAATTTTGAAAAAAACACATCGAACTAAAACTTAAATTATAAATAAAACAATATATTTAAACGCTTATAACATAGATTTGAAATTACGCAACCAGTTTCGACTCTTGGTTTGAGTCATCTTCAGGCGTCTTCAAAATTCCAATATGTAGTTTAATTTAATCAAATATTAACTTCTCGATTTCTCCATTTAATAAGTACTATTGGTAATAAACGATAGGAAAATCGTATACTGACCAATATATCTGTAATTACAACGTAAAATTGACAAGCATACATCGAATGAACTTTGTCAAATTTATAAAATATTTTAACTTAAGAACGATGTCATATCAAAAAAACTTAATTCAGAAAAATCGATTCGTCAGCAAATAACATAAAAAGAGTTTTGCCAAGAAAAAAAAAGTCAAAAGCTATAGAAAAAAGAGATTGGACATTAAAGGAATTGGTCTGATTGGCTCTCTTAATCACGTAATCACAACGACTTTTTTCACATTGTATTCACAGTTCACACTTACATATATAGGTAGCATTCTGTTTCACGCATTATATACATTGATGTATCATTTCATCTTTCTTTAATATTTTTTAATTATCGATGAACGATAAGGATAAAATAATGTATCATACGCACTATGCGTCAAACGGAACGCACTTATATAGGTTAACATATAGCATATGTATAAACTGTAGTGATGTATTAAGTTTCTAATACACTTTTAGAATGATAATGATGCTTCATTAATTTCACATTTTTATCCCTTGATTATCTATTGTACGAGCCCGTATAATAGAATTTGCAACTTAACTAATTAAAGAATGTTTCAACGTTACAACTTAAATAAATTTTATATTTAATTGTAGTACCAATTAGTTTAAATATGATTTAGTAATATTTAAACAAATAAGAAAAAGAATATTCTGTAACAATAATATTTATTACATTTTATTGTTAAATTCTCGTTTTTGTGTAATTTAGTTTAGTTTGTGACTCCTTCAAAAGCAACTTTCTACTTTAAGGTATTGTTATATTGAAATGTATAATATATAGATATTACTAATAGCATTATTTCATATAAATACAAATCATCTGTGTTATGCCGTATAGTTTAATATTTATATCCATTATTATACGTCAAATTACAAAGAAGTATCGTCTGGAATACTATTTTTCGTACCGTAAAAATATTATGATTAATTGACATAGATAATAATGGCTTGTCAGCATACAAATGCACCTGACGAAACAAGTATAAAATGCAGTCTTTTCATGAAATTGTCAAACAGCAAAATGTATGCCAAAGCTATCGTGTCTTTCGCTTTCCTAGCTGTGGCGGTTGCTAATGGTAAGTCAATTTCCTCGATTTATATGATATACGCACAATTTTATACGTAATTTTGTTTAAAAAATAAATCTCTAATGCATTATATATGTTTTCTTATTAAGCAGTTTTTAATTTATTAAATAAAAAAAAATAATAACTAATTTATTGTATTGTTATACAAATTACAAAACAAATAGCAAAATTTTGTTTTTAATATAAAATTATTTTCTAAAATGATATTTTATAAAGAGCTGACTTTGATGTGATATAATCAACTTCTCCACAAATGTGTTTTATTAAACACTAATAATTTAAATTGTAGTGCAGCCCCAAGTAGACCTCCAGATGCCTATCAGCCCCCGTTTATCTCCGTTTGAGACTCGTGTGATTGGAGGTTCCGCGGCACCGGTAGGACGTTATCCATACATAGTTTCTCTTCAAAGTCGCGGACAACACTTTTGCGGAGGATCCATATTGAACAATAGAACAATTATAACAGCAGCACATTGTGTTGACACAAATAAGAATCCAGGTCTTCTTACTGTCAAAGCTGGAAAGTCCATTATTAACACTAAGGAGGCAACTGAACAAACAGTTAGTGTGCAAAAAATACACGTACATGAAAAATATAAAGGGTAAGCAAAACACGGTAAAAATAAGAACAATTTAATTAATTCGTATTCAAATAATATTTGTATAATATGTCATACATCCATGTTGCATTTACAATTAAATTTAACCATATTTAGAAATAATCTAGAACATATTAACTTTTGCATCAATAATAATCAGCAATTATATTTGTAAAATAAATGTACAATCAATATGCAATATCGCAACATTATTTGGCATTAGTATCGTGATTAGCGATAATTAAGATTATTATTATACAGAAAATTATATGTGATATATTAGAAATACTCTATATTAGGAAATCATTTCAAATAAGTAATGAGACAAATAATCTCCATGTCTTTTTTGCGAATTTACTACTGAAGATGGCCCGGATGTTAGGCCGAAACGTATAGTATTTTATATATGACATTTTTTAATTGTTAACGAATATATATATTTTTTTTTTATGATTGCGCATTGATAACAGCGTGTTTACTCTCATTAGCCTATTTATTTTTTGTGTATTTGAAATTTTCGAGAGTCGAATTTTATATTTAATATTTTGAGACAAATAAATTATATTTTGAGATTTGTTTTGATATACACATATATTTTACTTAATTCAGCAGATTAATAGTATTTTTTTTTACAAATATTACCTTTTTTTAGTATTAACACATTAGCATAAACACATATCTTTTTAAAATTGTATAATTAATAATTATATATAATTTTGTATATAATGAACTACAATATAGTATATTTTCAAATTTTAAGTGGCGTTGGCCCATATGACATAGCTATACTTAAGCTTAAAACTCCATTAAAATTGAACGATAACGTACGAGCTATCGTATTACCACAAGCAAACAGTGAACCAACTGGCGTGGCTTGGCTTAGTGGATGGGGCTCTATTTCGACTACTAAAGTTCCAAAAATGCCAACTAAACTTCAACATGTTCAGATGCAGTACGTCGATCGCAAAACTTGCGACAAGGCCCTCAGTAAACTGATGCGAACTTCTCGTTCTGGTGTTCATGAAACCAATATTTGCACTGGGCCATTGAACAAACAAATTTCTGCATGCTACGTATTTGTCAGATATTTAATAAATTTAGTGAATGATAGTAGCATTGTTGGCAATTGATGTAGCAATTATATAAATCCTTTTTAATATATTTCCAGGGTGATTCCGGTGGTCCACTTATCTCCTATGTAGGAGGAAAACCGGTGATCAATGGAATTGTATCCTGGGGTATTAACCCGTGTGGTACTCCAGGCGCGCCATCCGTATACACTAGGGTATCCAGTTTTAATAATTGGATTACGCAGAAAGCTCGAAATTGATGATGGCAATATTGACGATCGACATATGATTGTGTAATACTAAATAAGAAATTACATATTATTTAACATAAAATAAATAAATAAATTGAAGTTTTCAAGAACTCTTTTATATAATAATAATTAATACGTTAAACAGGGCGAATAAGAGTCAAATTACAATTTAAAAACTAAATCTGATAATTTATTCTAATATTATATATTGCGAACGATATCACGTAATTTTTGGCATTTCGTCCAGGCTTTTACTACTGAACTCATTAGTAAGGCATTGTAGTGGAAGTCTACCTTATACGCCTTGGTAAGTTATTAAATCGAAATTCTATATAAAGAGATATACGCGTGCCTCAGCACTTACGAGAATTTGCGAATATCGCTAGACCTCTGATGGCGAGTCGACATAGTGATATTCTTCGCAATCTTCCAGTAGTGGAAGCGGGGACGAAACGCCAAAAATTATGTGATATTCTTCGGAATACATATAATATTAGAAAAAATAATCAGACTTAGATTTTTAATTCTAATTTGACTCTTATTCGCCCTGTTTAACGTATTAATTATTATAAAATAAATATTTAGCAAAAATTGAAAGCAATGTTATTTTACTTCTAACCTACCAGAGTTTGCAAGTAACGAGTTATTTGTAATGTCGTTACTGTTATAAGTTACTTTTTTCGGTAACCAATAGGTAACGACGTTACATTTTCTTCGGTGTAACGTTCATGGTAACTCAGTTACATTTTTGGGGTTATAGTAACGATTTCATTAGTTACTTTTATCGTTACTTTATTTCTAGCTACGTAAATGTTTTAGTCGTAACTAGAGCTATAGAAAAAAGAGATTGGACATTAAAGGAATTGGTCTGATTGGCTCTCTTAATCACGTAATCACAACGCCTTTTTTCACATTGTATTCACAGTTCACACTTACATATAGGTTGCATTCTGTTTCACCCATTATATGCATTTATGTATCATTTTATCTTTCATTAATATTCGGTAAACGATAAGGATAAAGTAATGTATCATTACGCACTATGCGTGAAACGGAACGCACTTATAGGTTAACATGTATAGACTGTAGTGATGAGACCAGCGAGATTCTACATGAGATTCTATCCTAATACATATAAATAATATTGTATATTGTATGTATATAATTAATAATTACATTGCATAAACAGAACATTCTTGACTAAAGAATTGTAATCTATCAAAATATGTATACCTCTCATTTACAATACCTTTATCATAGATTTTTACTTTAGGGATTTGTCTTTAAACAATTATTTCGTTTATGAATTTATATTCAACTCTTTAAACCATTAAACGTTTTACAATTAAATTCAGTAGCTCTATTTATAGCATAAATGTATAATAATCGAAACTACTATTAGTAATGTATTGTCGCTACATTGATATTAACATCGTGATTTTAGCGTTAATACTGAGGAATAGAAAATTATATCTGATATTAGAAATATATGTGATATTAGAAAAATATATTTTGAATAAGTAGTGACGCATACATTTTTTTTTTTACATTTATTATGAGATGACATGTATTATTCTACTAATTTTGCAGATTACTAGTATTTTTTCACAAATACTAACACATTAATGCAAACACGTCTTATTTTTCAAAATGTATAATTAATAAGTATTATATAAATTTATATACATACACATGAATAGCAATATATATTTTCTAATTTTTGGTGATGTTAATCCATATGACATTGCTTTGCTATTAAATTACTCCTCTATTAAAGTTGAACAATAACGTACAATCTATCGCGTTAGTACCATCAAACAATGAACCAAATAGAAAGGCATAGCTTTTTGGATAGGGATTCACCTCAACTGACATTTTCCCCAAAATGCCAGAAAAATTTCAATATGTTCAGATGGAGTATATCCATCGTACAACTTACGACAACGTTGTCAGTGATAACGGGGCCTTCTCCTTCTCCTATTTATGAAAATACATATAAATAATATTGTATATTGTATGTATATAATTAATAATTACATTGAATAAACAGAACATTCTTGACTAAAGAATTGTAATCTATCAAAATATGTATACCTCTCATTTACAATACCTTTATCATAGATTTTTACTTTAGGGATTTGTCTTTAAACAATTATTTCGTTTATGAATTTATATTCAACTCTTTAAACCATTAAACGTTTTACAATTAAATTCAGTAGCTCTATTTATAGCATAAATGTATAATAATCGAAACTACTATTAGTAATGTATTGTCGCTACATTGATATTAACATCGTGATTTTAGCGTTAATACTGAGGAATAGAAAATTATATCTGATATTAGAAATATATGTGATATTAGAAAAATATATTTTGAATAAGTAGTGACGCATACATTTTTTTTTTTACATTTATTATGAGATGACATGTATTATTCTACTAATTTTGCAGATTACTAGTATTTTTTCACAAATACTAACACATTAATGCAAACACGTCTTATTTTTCAAAATGTATAATTAATAAGTATTATATAAATTTATATACATACACATGAATAGCAATATATATTTTCTAATTTTTGGTGATGTTAATCCATATGACATTGCTTTGCTATTAAATTACTCCTCTATTAAAGTTGAACAATAACGTACAATCTATCGCGTTAGTACCATCAAACAATGAACCAAATAGAAAGGCATAGCTTTTTGGATAGGGATTCACCTCAACTGACATTTTCCCCAAAATGCCAGAAAAATTTCAATATGTTCAGATGGAGTATATCCATCGTACAACTTACGACAACGTTGTCAGTGATAACGGGGCCTTCTCCTTCTCCTATTTATGAAACTTATGTCTGCACAAGATCATAGAGCAAACCAATTCCCGAAGACAATATATGTGCCAGATATTAAGAAAATTCAATGAGTAATTGTAGCAATATTGGCAATTAATGTAGCAATTTAATGTACCATTTTTAATATACTTTTAGATTCCGGTGGTTTACTAATTTCGTACGAAGAAAAATCGGTAGTAACTAGTAATGGGATTTTATGTCTTACTTAATATATTACTTCAAACACGCCATCCGTATATACTAGCAGCTAGGGTATCCAATTTCAATAACTGGACTTCGCAGAAAAATAGTAATTAATAATTTGTTAACGATGGCAATATTGATGACTTATAAATGTATAATACTGAATCATTACATTACATATTACTTAATACAAAATAAATATCCATCATAAATTTGAAGTAATGTTCCTTTATTCCTATC